AGAGATTCAGTCATTTGGAAGGCATGTTTGAGATGATGATAACTGCCATGGCCACTCGAAATGTTGGTACAAGCAGTAGTAGAGGAGGAGGAGGCAGATCTGCTGGCAGAAACGTTGCTAGAAGAGGAGGATTAGAATATTGGTTCGGTGGTGGTGAGGCTGGCAGTCCAGGAGGATCAAGCAGCGCAAATACCACTAACCGTTCATTTCGTGACATTGTTTGTGCAGGTGGAAATAGCAAATCAATTGGTATAACAAAGCAGCTCTCTATTTGGAATCCACACCAAGAGATGGTAGAGTTGAAATGCCAAAGTTGGTGACTTTGAATGATCTACCAAAGGGAATGAAGAAGAGTGGTCCAAGTGATCAAAATTTGTGGGTTTCGAATGAGAACTTCAGAAGGATTAAAAGCTATGCTAGAGCTTTGATGATCATGGTTCTAAAGGACTATATCAAGGTCAATGATGCCGAGCTACAAAATGGAAGAAGTCTTGAAGAGTGCATCATATGGTATGAAGAAGGTATACTGCCCGGAAGCAACATCATTGAAGCATTCAACTATTATTCGGTTGGGCAGGTATGCAACAATTATGCCATTAGTGACAATTTCATTGATGTTCAAAATCATATAAATCATGTGCTTGAAGAGAGGAGAAACAAAGTCATTAGATGATTTGTATGATTGTCACATTTGTTTTTGTATGGTCCACGGGAACATGAACCCATGAACAACTTGGAACAATTTATGGTTCGAATTATCTGTTTATGATGCTACTACGTTTTCCTTGTTATTTATTGTTATTTTATTTGTCTTGAAAGGTAACATTTTTAGCTTAGATTGTATCAAATCGCATAAATTGGAAAAATGCAAGAATTCTTTATTATTAGAATCCAAAAATGCGAATAGGAATTTTAGTTGCTAAAAATACCTTTCCTAGAGTCAAAATCAAATGTTAAACTCGTCTTGGCTATGTCAAAGTTAATAAAATCTTTTGAAAAATAATTGTTTTTAAAAGACAAGCCAAATGACTAAGTATAGGTTTTGGCGTCATCAAAAAGAGGGGAAAATTGATAGGAATATTTTTATAAGTTTTGATGAGCCAAATGTACTTTAGATCCCCTTAGTTTTTAGGTCTTTTAGTACAAGCATCATAAATCAGAATATCGAGTCAAAAGGAATCTACCATAGGAAGAACAAAATTAATTTGAGAAATTAATTTTGGTCCTACAAGTATTCATCCGAGAAAGAAGCATAAAGGAATGGCGTTGCAAAGAATGACTGGATGAGCTTAATGGTGAAATGGTAGAAGTCCTTACCTAAAATAATCACACTCAAGATCGATTCCCCTCAAAGACTTATTTTTACAAGTCAAGTTTTCGGACAAGCACAATGCCCAAAAGAGCACAATGTGCCAAGGAGCACAATGCTACCAAAAAGAGCACAATGCTGCTAAGGAGCAAAATGTGTGCCAAGGAGCACAAAGTATGCTGACAAGCACAATGTTCAAAAGGAGCTCAATGTTCAAGTCAAAGGAGCACAATGTGGCAAAGAAGCAAGATGATCAGAAATTGGATAAATTCGAAGGAATTTATTCTAAGTCTACCCACATGCCACAAGAATCCAAAATTGCCTGAAAGACATTTCATCAGAACGGAAAAATACTTATGAAGAAATGAATATAAAAACTTATCCTAGAAATAAATTCTATCAGATGAATTTATTTCAAACATACGTTGGATATTCAATATGACAACAAAATAATATCTTAAAAAACTAGAAAATCAATTGGAGATAAGATATTATTTTTGTCAGGCAAGTTGACAATCAAATCAAAATTGAAGACCTACTATTGTCAACAATATCAGGCTATGAAGATTCAAATTTCAAATATCAAATTATCCCACTCCAACGGATATATATGATTGCCTATAAAAAGCCATGAAAACTTGAAGACAAAGAAGAGAGGTGAACAAGATAGACGTGAACAAAAGAGAAGCGCAAAATTCGAAAAGTGCAAGTGCTCAAATATTCTTAGAGACTTTGTCTGAATAGTCTCAAAACTAGTTGGAGAGAGAGATACAATTACTTTTGTACTTGTAATTGTTAAAAGAGTATAGCTGTGTGCAAAATACTCTAGTGAGTGTAGCTGTGTGCAAAACACTCGTAGTTGCTAAGTGTAGCTGTGTGCAAGACACTTAGTTGGCGTTGAGTATAGCTGTGTGCGAAATACTCGGAGTTGAGTGTAGCTGTGTGCGAGACACTCGGAGTTGGGTGTAGCTGTGTGCAAAACATCCGGAAGACGTGCTTGTGTAGCGCTTATTCACTATTGTAACTGTGTGTGGAAAATAGTGAATTCTCCTAGACGCGAAAGGAGAAAAGTGGACTAGGAAGATTACGCCACTTCCGAACCACTATAAATTGCCTCTCTCATTTTCATACTGCACTTACCTCTATCTATCTATCTTATCCGACTAACCCGTTTACTATTCACAGTTAATCTTAATCTTTCGGGTTTAGTGTGTTTTCACGTATGCATGAGACTCAAACTTCTCGAGCTTAAATATTGAATTATTCTAGGCAAGTTTGACGTGTTGCATGTAACATTCGTTACACGGTCGACGTGATATGATATTTATTTACAATCTTGAATATTGTTATTATATATTGAGTGCACCATCTCCTTTATATATTCAAGATATCGCTGTCACTTTACATATCATCTGTACTCATCTTACATGCGCATTTAAATTATTGATTGGGCATAACTCTTTACATACTACCTATTCCGCTGTGCAGTTTGAATTTACTCTATTTACTTGTTATTTAGAGTTGAAATTACCAAAGAGTTATTTATTTTGAAAAAGCTTGAAAGTCTATTCACCCCCCCCCCCCCTCTAGACTTTCACCACCCTATCGGGACCAACACGGGTTTCTGCCCCTCTTAGTAATTTGCTGATATAATATATTGGATGTTGTAGTTTCTCTTCTTCTCGCACCAAAACGGAGCTCACTGCCTGCTCTGATACCGCCATGTAGAGGTATAAGGTTTCACCTTCTTTGGGTTTGGCTAGTAGGGGGTGGGGATAACAGATATTTCTTTAACTCCTCGAACGATGCCTGACATTCATGGATCCATTCGAACCCCTCTCTTCTTTTGATCACTTCGAAGAACGGTGGAGAGCGCTCTGCTGATTTGGAGAGGAAACGGCTAAGGGCTGCCAGTCGTCCCGTCAGTTTTTGGATTTCCAATAGGTTGGTGGGCGGTTGCATATCCAGTATGGCTTTTATTTTCTCAGGGTTTGGTTCTATCCCTCTCTGTGTGACCATGTATCCTAGGAATTTTCCCCCACGGACAGCGAATGCACATTTCTTTGGATTCAATCTCAATTTATATCTTTCCATGATTTGGAAGCATGCTCTAAGGTATCGAGAGTGCTTGGGGGCTTCTTTTCTTTTTACCAACAGGTCGTCGACATAGGCCTCCATGCTTTTTCCAAGCAAGCTGTGAAATATTTTGGAGACCATCCTTGTAAATGTTGCTCCTGCATTTTTCAGGCCGAACGGCATCACCTTATAGCAATAGACTCCATCAGGTGTCAGGAATGCTGTTTTTTCTTCGTCCTGTTCTTCCATAAATATTTGGTGGTAGCCCCGAAAGGCGTCAATGAAGCTAAGTAGTGCGCAACCGGCGGTTTGGTCTACCAGTTGGTCTATTCGTGGTAAGGGGAAGGGGTCCTTAGGACACGCCTTGTTGAGGTAAGTATAATCAACACACATTCTCCATGCTGGGGGCTTGGGTACTAGCACGACGTTAGCCACCCAAGTGGGATAGGTGACTTCCCTGAGGTGACCAATCTCTAGTAGGGTGGAAACTTCTTTTTTTTTTTTTTTTTTTTTTTTTTTTTACGAATTCTCTTCGGTCTGCCGCTAGGTGCCTCTTTCGTTGCATGACTGGTCGGGTGGCCGGATTGACGGATAAGCGGCGGGTGATGACCGACCGGTCAATTCCGGGGATGTCATCGGGTCCCCAAGCGAATAGGATTTTGTACTCTTTCAGTGTCTGTAAGATGCTCAGGCGGACCTCTTCTGTTAACCCTTTGCCTATCTTGATCGTTCTATCTGGTCTGGAGTCCTCCAAAGCTACTTCTTCTAAATCGGCTACGGGTTCTGGCCTTTCCTTAGTCTCCTCTCCTTTGGTCTTCTCGGTGATAGTTTGGACCTACAGGTCGCGTCTCCCAATTTGCCGGCAAGAGAGGAGGTAGCATGACCGGGCCACATGGCGATCGCATTTAGCAATCCCCACTCCTTCGGGTGTTCGGAATTTTAAGCACAGATGCTCGAGCGACACCACAGCCCCCAGGTCCTCTAAACCCGGACGTCCTAGAATTACGTTGTGCGCGGAATTGATGTTAACAACCACGAACTCCATGTCTAGGGAACGGACCCTTGGGTATTCTCCTATTTCCACGGGTAAGGTGAGGCACCCCTCAGCCTCTACGCTATCTCCGGTGAACCCAGCAAGTGGCGTCCGCACCAGGTGTAGTTGTTCTCTAGACAGTCCCAGTTTGATAAATGTCTCGAGGTACATGACATTGACATTGCTGCCAGTGTCTACAAATACTCTCCGGACGGTGGTCCCGTTGATGTCCACGGTGATGACGAGGGCATCGCGGTGTGGTGTTGGGCCGTTCGGGAGGTCTTCATCAGAGGAGGTGATGATGTCCCTCCGGCCTTTCTTGATTGGGGGTCTATGTTGCACTGCGCCTACATATAATTGTCTAGCCCAACGTTTCCTTTCGCGAGAGCTGTCTCCAACCGCAGGCCCGCCACAAATCATGTGGATCACACGCTTGCGTTTCCAGTTTCGATCGCCTTGCTCTTCTGGATTCCCCTCTTCTTGGTTAGGTGCTTTCTGTTGGGGCCTATCCCTAAGTTCGCCGGGAGGGTCCCGGGCTGGTGCCCATGGAAGTTTTCGCCATTGGTTGGGGCGAGCAATCGATTATCTTCTCTGGATAAGCTCCTCGATTTCTTTTTGTAGGGTAGTACATTCTTCGGTGGAATGTCCTGTGGACCTGTGATATCGGCAATATCTGGCTCTTCCCGCGGCCGGCCGTTCCTCCGCCTTTGTGGGTGGTGGCGGTAGGTTCTCTGTAGGTCGGGGTGGTTGGACCTCGTACACGTGCCTCGTCCCGAGGGCGGGGACTGCTCTGTGTCGAGGGAGATGTGGCCCCCGGATGACGTTAGATCTCTCTTCCCGTTTAGACGGTCGGTCCAACGGACGCGTTCTCGTCCCGTCACGGGGTCGTTTTGCTTCTCGCCTTATTTTTTGTCGCAAAGCCTCTTCTGTTTTCGTATATTTGTTGCCCCTCTGGATGGCCTGTGCATACGTGTCGGGGGTCTCCCTTCGTAGCCTAGTGAACAGATCCCCTGACCGGAGGGCTTCCATGAATAAAGTGAGGGCCGTTCGGTCGTCCAGATCTTCCACAGCCTGTACTTCCTTCTGCCATCTTTTTAAGAACTCTTTTAGTGTCTCAGTTTCTCCTTGTTGTATGGCAGTCAAGGTTATGAAGTGCTTCTTTGTTTTCATGCTTCCTGCAAAGTAGGTTAGGAATTGTTCGGCTAGGGTTTCGAAGCGGTCAATGGACAATGGTGGTAGAGATAGGAACCGACGATGCGCTGCCCCGCCTAGGGTTGAGAAAAAGGCGCGACAGTACATGGGGTCCTCCACCCCTATTACCATCATCTTTGCCTGGAAGCCGACTAAGTGATCGCTGGGGTCCCCCGTTCCATCGTAAGTAGGCATTGTCGGACACTTGAAGTCTCTTGGCGCGCGATATTCTTGGATTTTCATAGAGAATGGACTGACAGACAATAGAGATCGAGCGGTTGGTCGATCTCCCCTACCCTCGACCTACCTTTGGAGGTCTCTCACCTCCCTGGCGAGTTCTGCCATCTCTCGATCTCGATTCCCCTGACAAAGTTCTGGAGTCTCTCCGCTACCCTCCACCACGTCTTGCAGAATTCTTCTTCGATCGGGATCTCCTCCCCTTGCTCCTCCCGTGTGAGAACCGGTTGCCTGGATGACCTCCACCCGTCGCTGGGGGTTGAGCCTGACTCTTTATTGTGGGCTTTCTACCGGGGAGTTTTTGAGTTCCGGCTGTGGAACGGATGCTCGTTGATTCAGGGGGCCTATGCGGTCAAGGACGAAGACTGTACAACGGGGTCCCTGGGGTGGAGTCGATCTCTGTGTTCTTTCAGGGGGCAAGTTCGTGTTGGGCAGTCGGTCACCGGCGATCTGGGTGGTGTTGTTTATCCGAGAGGGTTCTAGGGATCCCGCCCTTGCGGCCTGGCCATGATGAAGGGCCCTTAAGTAGCGGGCGGCGGCCTCTAATATCTCGGGGGTGAGTTCCACTGGCTGGGTCCGTGGGACACCAATGACCGATGGGCGTGCGTTCGAACGGACCTCCTCCTCTTCTCGAGGACCTCCCCGTTCAGCCTCCCACTCCAGGGGAATATGCTGATCGTTCGGTACCTGCGAGGGGCGGCGGCTGAGGGTTTCTCTCAAATCTCTGACTGGTCTAGCGACTTCTTGGTCAGTTCGAGTACTTCGTCGTGTAGTTACCATGCTTTCAGGGTTTTGAGGAACGAACGATAACTTTTCGTATCGATCCCCACGGAAGGCGCCAATGTTGGTTTTATGACTTTTGGACAGTCAACGGCAAGCCAACACTACCGTTAGAATAACGAGAATATAGGAAAAATATAGGAGAAATATATGGAGAAAATATAGGAACTTTGTATTGAAGAGTATTGCTCGTGAATAGAGAAAGTTGTCCCCACTTCCTCTATCTGAAGGGTCTATTTATACATATTTTGGGCCTAGAGCCCTACAAGGAATAAGTATTCTAGACTGCCTCATATTGGGAGTCTTAGTTACATAATGAGACCTAATTCTGTTATACTAGAAATAACGAGTCCAATTCTAATTATATTGGGAATAATAGGCCCAATCCTTGACAAACTCTTCGTTACTCTGTGTCGTGTATCTTTATTGGGCTTCCTTAATCTAGTTGCTTTCCTTGGGCCGGTCCACATGGCCCAGGCCTAGTACACTATCCATCACCCCCCAACTGCCGATTGCTTGCGTTCAAGACGTATGGACTGCCAGGAAACCTGTGTTTGTAGTACTAATATATGACAGCATCGATATGAACAAAAAAAATAAAAACAAAAATCTAATAGTATATACGTACTAATAAGATGGAATGATACCCTTTTTAATTTGAGAATGTGATTTTTATAAGATAATATTTTTTTTTTGAATACTATTGACTCTATTACAATGTAGTATCTGTTCAATTATATAGACTTCGATCAGATGAGATGACCCACTAGCACGCAAAATAGTAACATAAATGTGATGCCAAAAGAAAAACGTGTGGCATTTAAAGCTGCCCACTGGACAATGGGTATTTAAAGATGATAGACACGTGTGGATGGTAGCAAATTTTAAAAGAAAAAAATTGTGATACATTTTAAAAGGTTATTGTGGTGAAATAACGTTAAGTTTTACTTTTAAATTAAAATGTCAAAGGTCCGATGTTCAATTCCTAAAGTTATTAAGAAAATGGAAGCTAAAATAACAAATTAGACGTGTCATGAGATGAAGAAAAATTGAGTTTGGAGTGAAATTCAATTGTCCCGCTGCTCATCAGGCCTGAGACCAACAGAATAACATTCATGATATAAACATTAAAAATTATTGACTTGACTTCCACCATGATTTTGGCCAAAAATCTTATAGACAGGCAGTTATAAGACAAATTTTTTATGGTCTTTTATCAATTATCATACATTAATACATAATTTTGAAAGTTATTTAGTCTAACTTTTATCCACCTAAAATAAATGCAAATTAAGTTAGAATGCTGTTGTGTCCATTTTGAGAGACCAGAGATAAATATGCATTTTATTTGGTGACTTTGGAGTTGCAAGCACATTCAAATAAATACTCATATTACTATTAGCCAAAATAGTAGGTAGGGACATAAATGTGGTGAAAATAAAAGGTGCGAAATTTTTAAAGATTCCCACGGAAAAGTAGATAAGGTTATGAGATTTAAGGGTGTGTTTGGTTAGCATATGGGAATTGAAATCGGAATGGGAATTAAATTTTTGATAATGGTAATAGTTTTGGTGAAAGTATTTTACATGTTTGATAGTAGAGTAAATTGAAATGATTATTAATAGGAATAAGGTTCAAATTGGGCACTGAACGTAACCTGAAAATGCAATTAGGCCACTGAACGAAAAAAAAAAGTGTAATTAGGCCACTGAACACTCTAAAAATGTGCAATTTCACCTGATAGCAGGTTACTCTCAATTTTAGCAGGTTATCAGCTTACGTGGCAGCTGAGTTGGCATTTTTAATAAATTTTAAATCATTATTAATAAATTTTAATAATAAATTTTTATTTAAAAAATTTTTTTAAAAATAAAAACGACTTTATTTTATTTTTTATTTAATTTTCTTTCAATTTTTTATAAAATTTATTATTAAAATTAATTATTAAAAATTATTAAAAATGCCAACTCAGCTGCCACGTAAGCTGGTAACCTGCTAAAATTGATGGTAACCTGCTATCCGGTGAAATTGCATACGTTTGGAGAGTTCAGTGGCCTAATTGCACGTTTTTGGAGTGTTCAGTGGCCTAATTGCACTTTTTGTTCGTTCAGTGGCCTAATTGCATTTTCAGGTTATGTTCAGTGGCCAATTTGAACCTTATTCCTTATTAATATTGATGTTTGGTTGTGTATGGCCTATAATGGAAATAAATGTTTTAAAAGTACAAAAATAATAAAAATTAAGGTAACTGATCCTAATATAATCACATCCAAAGCATCAATATGAACACTAAAATTGAAAGAAAAAAAAAAAAAAACTAATTTTAGTAATCCAAACTTAAAAATTATATTACCAATAAGATTGAAATATACCCCTTTTTTTAATTAAGGAATGTGATTTTTAATTGAAGGGATAATTTAAATAATAACATTGTTGAAATAAGATAATAATTTTGTGGATCCACTTTTAAAAGTGAGTTGAAAGTGCATTGATGTAGAAAAAAATGTAAATGGATTCCAAATTTTATTATTTGGAATAGCTCTACTTTTGAGAGTGAGAGGGTATTTCAAGGATAATGATAGCTTTATAACTTATTTTAACTACAAATAAGTTATAAACTCTGTTTGATAAAACATGGGAGCTTCAAATAATAGTTTATTTTGAAACAACTAACACTCCGTAAACCGTGTTTCAAAATATGGAATTGGCTTTTAACATTCCCTCCCCCCCCCCCCCTCCTATTTTATCCTTTATTAATTTATAAAAATGACACAATCTATCTTTCTTTAATCAAAACTTTGGATATCTAAATTTTTTTAAACATTCCTCCGCCTCCTAGTTCTTTAGGTAAGAGTGTTCATCAAAGTGGGAATCAAACAGCACTCATCACTCTTGCATGGTAATGAGATGAAGGATATACTCAACAACATTGCTATTTTATTATAAAATGCTAAATCATACATGTCAATATATATATATATATATATATATATATATATATATATATATATATATATATATATAGGGATCAGGTGCATTTGTTGCTTCCCGTGCGGATGTGCGGTGGATTAATGTGCGTGGGGTTTATACTTAATGTGCGTGAGATTTGTACTCAATGTGCCTGAGATTTGTACTTAATGTGCGTCATGTTAATATGCGTGAGTTTTGTATTTAATGTGCCTGAGTATTGTATTTAATGTGCTTGAGATTTGTGCTTAATGTGCGTGAGATTTGTGCTTAATGTTTGTGCGTATTTCAGAATTACGAGCTCAGAAGGAAGCAGAACAGAAACTCACGCACATTAACGCCCAAGTTTCTTGTTACTTCTTCCTTCAATTTGGCCATGGATTCCGGATTATCAGCTACCTTCAGTGTAGTTGAATGTTTATATAAATGACGCACGCATAGTAAAAGTTGCACAGCAGCTAAGTGTGGATTTCTGTTGTATTATTCCCATAATTTTTAACCACCATAGCTCGTCTCCGCATCATCATCATCAGGGAGGGGGCAAATGGCTACTAGGATGGGGAAGAAGCTGACATCAATATTTTCTGCTGCATTTTACACATTCACGCACATTAAGTACAAATCTTAGGCACATTAAACACAACACTCACGCACATTGAGTACAAATCTCACGCACATTAATTCACCGCATATCCGTACGGGAAGCAACAAATGCACGGGAACCTTTCACTATATATATATATATATATATATATATATATATATATATATATATATATATATATATATATATATATATATATATATATAGAATAAAGTTCAAATGCAGCGGGGTCTTCCCGTGCGGCGGAATTCCAGAATACACCAACAGTGTAAGAAAAATACACCACAATGAAATGCAATAAAACATCACAAAATACACAACAGACTCAAAAAATACACCATATAACTCACCACCCCCAATGGTGTATTTCCGAACAGTGTATGGTGTTTTTACTCACACCTAATGGTGTGTGTTTGGTGATGCAGGGCTCTGTTTACTCTGTTTTGTGTGGTGTATTTTCCTAACGTTGATGGTGCATATTTTTTGAACTATTGGTGTTGCCGCACCGTAAGAAATCGCCGCACCGTAAGACACTGCCACACCTGCACCCGCCTCCATATATATATATATATATATATATATATATATATATATATATATATATATA